CAGAGGACACTGAACATGCATGTGCTCTCTTCCTAAGGGCTTTCTCACTAACTCCACGTTTCCATTAGCAAATAAAAGTAGTTCATTCTAAGGTCAGTAATTACAGCATATCATAAAGACCATGAGCATCCAAAAGAACAGTCTAGCCTGGAGGGTGGTGAATGGGCTGGTGCATCCAAGCCTGGTGCCAGGATTCACCCCAGGGCAGAACAGGCAGGACACCTACACAGATGCTCATGGAAGGGCCCAGGATGCAGCAGGCAGTACCAGGAGCTCTGTAACTCCGAGAAGCACCACTGGCATTTGCAAGTTTAAGATCAAGTGAGTCCAAGGAGTGCTGTTGCCCTTTATTTTCCCAGCAGGTGACTGAGTGGCAGCCTGAGGCCAAGGACCTCTCACAGCAGGCTCCCAACAGCACTGTATTTAGTCCGGGCACCTTGTGGGTCTCTGCCAAGGTCCTCGGCCCAGGCATCACACCTCTGGTACTCCCTTTGCCACACAGAGCCACAGGGCTGCCCTTCCCCAGGGGCTGCTCCCCATGATTCACATCCCACGTCAGATGCCTGGGAGGCGCTGCCATGTTGCTGCCTCCACGGTGACACAGGTGACACTAGTCCCTCTGCATTGTGGCGGCCCACAGCAACCCATCGCGGGAAAATGGCAAGATTTTGTGTGATGGAAGCAAGACAGCACCGCCCTCAGCCGAGCAGCTTAGTCTGAGCTCATTCCAGATGCAAAAAGACAGTGAACAGTGAGCTCCCCCCACTTCTTTTCCAGACACGCTCACGTTGTACTGGCTTTGCTCTCCAGCCTCTCAGGGTGTGTGGACTGTGTCAGGATGAAAGCACTGCACCTGGGCTCTGCTGCCGAGCACTGTGTGTTTTGCTGGCAAGGCTTTGTCTCTTTGACAGACTTCGCTGCCAAAGACAAATCCCTGACCAAACAATTGCTTGGACTGCAATTCTTGTACAACCCCGCTAACACTTCCCTTAGGGCTCCACGGATGGTCTCTGTTTTCTGGGCAGCAGGAGGCTCGAGGCCAGGCCAAGGAGGATGATTGCTGCCTGTGTCACTCTTTCATGTTTGAGCAGGGCCCAGTGCTCCTTGACAGATGTCCGGAGTTGCCCAGTTCAGGATGGTTCAGAGTGGCAGGGGCGTTGTGAACAACACCAACTGTGCCTCCCGATTTGGTTTCCACCAAAAGGCTGTGTTAGATGGCAGTGAAAGTGTGTCTGGTCCAGGTTAGAGGGCATAACCACTTTCTTATGTTCTGGATCCTGGCCTTTATCTAAAGTGGGTGCATTCACCTGACACTTCTCAGGGTATGCCAGTACTTGTGCCACTGGCACGATTCATGTGTGGTCAGTCCTGAGAATTAACTAGACTGGTATTGCTCCTACCACGTTTACCTGTTCCACTGGAAGAAGAGTTTTCCATTGCTATGAGAGGACGTGGAGTGAAAACCAAGCATCCCTCTGGGCTGCTCAGTGCAACAGCCCTCACGCTGGGAGGGCTGGTCCTGCCCTACCTGGGCAGCAGACGGTGACAGCTCTGCCTCGTTGGCTCTCATCCGCTGGGTTTCCTGGGCAATGCTATTCCCTGTGTGCCACAGGCTGGGCGTGCTCAACTTAGCCTGGCCCTGGCAGCCTGCCAAAGACACTCACATCTCCTCTGCTTTCGGTGGAGAAGCTTTGTTTCACAAAGGCTGTCTGGTGTCTGTCCCACCTGCCTGGCTAAGTGCAATTGGGTGGCGATCCCTGGGCTTTGGGAGGGATGGGCTCTTACCCACAGCTGGGCTGCTGATCTGGGGAAATGGGCTCTGACCTGGCAAGCAGGTGGTGTGGTGAGCCCAGCCCAGGGGAGCCGGGGTGGAGCTCTGTGCTAAGTGAAAGGGCACCTCCTGCACTCCAGGATCACAGTCCTGCTGGGCTGAGGCTGAGCAGGACAAGAGGAGGCTTTTGGAAACAGCTCTCCAGAGCCCAAAGGAGACCTGTTGGGGCTGTGAAGGTCCCTGTGTCCAAGGTGGGCAGGTGGGAACAGGGACCTGCAGCTATGGGCAGCTCTGAGCAGGGATGAGGGAGCACCAGGATGCAGGGTGGGAGCTCAAGGGCTTCCTTGGGCTGACCACAGGCTCCAGCACTGCAAAACCAACCCAAACAAACAGGTGAGAATAAGAAAAGAGCTTGTATGTGGGAAAGGAAGCAGAAACTGAGCCTGTGCCTTAAAATGGGAGTGAGGGGAGAAATTTCTTCTACTCGAGAAGGCACTGAAGAGCTTTTTGTAGCACACTGTAGGATGAGATGTGACAAGTTGATGCTTCCCATGTGATCTGGTTATTTAATGCAATGTGCAGTCCTTGGAAGTGTTAGTGCTTAACTATTACTGTTAAAACATTAAAAAGCTAAGCTATAAATAGCTTCTTCTCTTCAGCAGCTCCCAAGCTATGTTTCTGGGTTCTTTATGTATTGATGTGTATGCACAGTGATGTGTGTTTATACATATATTTAAAGGTAAGCAGCAGACAACAGAGTTTTATGAAATAGTCATACTGAAATGCTACCATTTCTAGTTTACACTACTAGTGGAAACAAGTAGTGTGCCCTCATATATACTCCTGCTGGGGAAAGGCAAAACTTTCTTGAGGACCGAACTTGGGAGGAAACAAAATAATGACTCAAGTTCTTGGGGGAACGGAAAGAAAAAAAGAAAAAAAAAAAAAAAAAAAAAAAAAAAAAAAAAAAGAGGCAGATATATGCCTGAAAGAAAGACCAGAAACTAAATACCTAATTATACCCTGCAGTAAGCTGTCAGAAACTGGCAGCAGTGGGAGGGAAGGAGGCAAAGCTGATCTCAGTGAGTTTGAGCATAATCTGCTCTTACCATACTTAAAATGCCTTTTGTGTGGGAATGGAAGGTTCTGGGATTCTCTGACACATGCTTTGTCCTGCACTTATCTAATCCATTCAAACGGTCAGGGCTGAAGTTACAGACAAGTGTAAAAGAGTCTCACCTGGCCAGCACCAAAATTCAGCAATTGCCTCAGCTTCTGAATGCAGTCTTTGTAACTAAACTGCTGATCCAGTATTACAGTTCAGGGAACACAGATACTCTTCAAAAGGATATACAAGTGTAACAGGCTATTGCTTGTAATTACATTTTGGTTCAAAGAGTTTTCGATGCCAGCATAAAACATCAAGACATTTCTTCCCATGCTTGTAGCAGGGTAGGGGTTTGGAGAGTGGATCTGGGGTTTGATCCTGTTATTTTGTACCTCCTCAGTCTTAGCATACAGTGTGTATTGAACTGACCCTGAGGAGAAAGTTCTTAGCAGTTGAACTGAGTGAGAGGGAAAAGTGGGTTTGTTATGGTGAGCTAAGAGACAAGTGTTTTCTTGCTGGAAGTTTGGTTCCTGGAGAACGTGTAGCTGCCTTGCTGATGTGGGGTTTTAAACTGTTGCAGACTGCATCTGTAAAGGTCCTGAAGTGCATACTTTTCATCAAATTGACTGTGACAGTAAAAAACATATAAAGACTTGTGCTTTTACAATTGGGGTTAGGAATATTCAGTAATGGAAGGGTTTGGGCAGGCCCCCAAAGGCAACACAGTTACCAGGGCGAGCAGGTAACTGGGTAGCTTGTGTTCAAGCCCCACCAGTACCCAGACACTAAGCAGTTTCCAGAGGCTGCCCTGTTAGGCACTTCTCCCAGCATTCAGCTGGGAACAAACTCCAATTTAAATAGAGATCTCAATCCTTTTGCTCAAGTTGGTTTCTTCTTCAGTGTTTCACAGTGCTGGTGTTTAACTGTGCACCTTAAATTGGTTAAGGATTTCTGTGGGACTCTACCTTCCAGCTACAGCCGCCTCCAAGGGGCACCTTAACCCCAAGGCTGCCCTTTTGCTTGGACAACAGTGGAATCAGTAGTGATTAAAAGCATTCATCTGAGAGGATCTGCTTAACTAAATCTTGATATGACCTATCTTGGGTGTGTGCTCCATCTACCAGAGTACTTCGTAAAAGGAGGATGCTGGTCAACACTTTTTATTATTACAGGTCAGGGCCAGAGGTCACTTCTCCAGGATGTAGAATATAATTCTATTCCTCTCCCTGATAAGAACGGGAATCCTTGCCCAGTCCGTCCAAAACCGCTTTACTCATCATTGCTTTCAACACCAAGATCTCAGGACTCTGCATCACGCTTGCTTTGCTGTCCAACGTGCCTCCTGTGAGCTGTGAACTCTGTAGATGGAAAACTTTCTGATGGAATATGCTGTAAGAACAATGCAAGTGAATTGGCTATTTATAGATCATTAAAAATTACTGTTTCAACCTGGAATCTTTAATTTTCCATTTGCTGAAGTCTTTTGGCTTTAATCTGAAAGTTTGCCAGTTAATACACGTCTCCCTAATTCCTCACCTCTTTTAAAAGGTGCCAAAGCACGGCTCCTGTCAAACAAGTTGGGTTTCTTTTAAGATCACAAAGGATTTAACATTGAGTCAAGTAAGCTTCCAGTGATAAGGATGGCTTTCCCTAAATCCTTAGGCTTGTTGTTCATCTGCAATAGCAGATTAGGTTGGTGGCATCAAGCTTGTGGCTTCCCCACACAGTAGACTTAATCATTACAAACAACTGCTTAGGTCAGGTCACAACTAAATGCCTACCCTGAAAGTATCTCACATATAGGTGGCATCCCAAAATTCATCTTGACTGTGAACAGTCAGAACATAGCTTGTGATGTGTCCTTTCCCCACCTCTACAAAGTAAGTTGCACTCATCTCACCTGACTGTGGCAGATGTAGAGTTCACAGGAAATTATGGTTTGGCTCAGTCAAAAGAATTGCTGGAGAGGTGTCTTTCAGGGTAGTCCCCTCAAGAAAATCTGGTAACAGCTTGATGAACAGACAAAAAAACCCCAGCATTTGCCCCAATAATCTTCTGGGGCAAAGATGTGAAAGAGACCAGGATAATAATCATTAAATGTACACACAGCAAGTTAAAATGTATTTCAAAGAAAACATCTTTTATTATTTTATATATGTGCTAGATCAAAGTAGCAACTCTGGAACTGCATTGAAATTAACAGGAAATCTAAAATAATCACAGCTTCTGATTTCTCTGAATGATATGTAATCACTCTGCTACAGTGCACAGGACACAATCTGAAACATTAGCCATTTATTAAAGGGACAAAGACATGGCAGGATTAAGAGTGGAAGAAAGGGGACAGTAGTGTTACATGACTCCCTGAATGCCATGTTAGTAGTTGCACGTCTCCTGTGGAATAAAGGAATTGACTTCTCTGGCCACAGTGTTATTGCATGACATATAAGCTCTCTATTTCAGATCCAAAACAAGGTCTGTCCCTTGGTTCCCTCCTGCTGTTCTCAGATGTATACTCCCTTTAGGCTTGACTTATAGCTGTTCATCTTTGGAAGATGGAGTTATGATCAGGCCTTCACCCTGTCTGTTGCATAGGGCAGTGCACCACATAAATATTAAGGTATTGGATCAGAAGTGAAGTCCCCTCTCCAGCCTGGTCCCATAATCTGCACAGAAGTGCAGATTGATCGCTCCAAATAGAGAAATACGGCCTCAGAAATACCACTTATGAGCAACACATGAGACAAAGGAAGAGTTTTGTTCCTGCCACACTCAAAGCTGATTCCAGGAAGCTGCAGTTCCAAGGAAGAAAGGATTTCACTGAATTCTAGCAGTAACAGATGTCCATAAATGAACTGCAGGTAAGCTGAATGCCTGCGCAGCACTCTAGCACAAAACTCGTGGAACAGAAGAGACCTGGCCAACACTTTCATTAATAGAGACCTTCCAGAATCAAGTCGGTGTCTAACAGCAGCTGGAGAAGCCAGATTTCTTACTCCATCCACTGGGTCCATGCAATTCCTAGGCAGGGACTTGGACAAAGTGCACTGTTTCAAGGAGCTGAGAAAAGGAAGGGGGGAAAGGTCTTCGTGTTGCTCAGACCAAGGGTTTGGCTAATTAGTGCACAGAGCAACAAGCAAAGTCTTTTATGAAACCTTACTTGGTAAAAACTGGGGAAAGGGTACGAGATTCTTCTAGATTCCCTCTCCTCCCTTCTGTCCAATTTCAACTCGCAAGCAAAGCATTTCTTAAATTCCTTATCACTGAAGTTCCTCCTACGCGTTTTTAAGGCTCCCAGAAGACTGTTTCAACACTAACATGGTGAAAAAAAAACAAATCCAGAGCTAAAAGCAGATTTGGAATCTGAAGCAGATTCACATCAGTCAGCTCACCTCCACTGCTGTTCCAAAGATGGAGATGCCTGGCTCACTCTCTGTGCAAATGCAAACCCCTTCCTATCTTGAAAGAGGTGCTACCTCCCTCCTCTTGCTACCTACCTCACTTCTGGCTGGGGTGTGCCATGCATGCTGATAGGAAATTACTGCTTGGGATTTCTCACCCCTGAGGGAAGGCTGGTTCAGCAGCACCTGGTCTTTGAGTAACCAGCACCACAGTTTTTACAAGTAACGAGACAGAGCTCTGCCAAAGGCTGCTGCGCACACAGGTGGACAGACCTCAGTATTTCTGCAGGTAAGTTCCTGCCACGCCCCAGGTGTGGCTCACATTTACTGCCAGCAACCAGCCCAATGAGGTCTATGAAATCATGGCCTAGAGGACCATTCCCAACTAATCCTATGAAAGTGACCACCCAAGTCAGCTAATACTGCAAGCAAAGGGAGCATTCCTGTTTCTGCACTGGATGGCACCTCTGAAAAGCAAGGCTGAGGGACACTGCAGCTAGTTTATGAATAAATGTGTTTTGGACCTCCAGTTCCAGGCCTTGCACTCCAGGCCTACAGCACAACTGTGGCTGTGGAGATGCAATGAAAGAAAAGGACCTTCCCTATGCTGTATGTGAAGCCCTTCCCTGTGCTTACTCTGGATACTGGAGACAAGCCCTTGTCTTGTGCAACTGGATGAAATGGTAATTTTTCTCTCCAGTGAAAGGGAAAGGATTCTAATCTGTGTTTTTCACATTACAGCTGCTTTTAGAAGTAGTCAAGTGATTCTTGTCCTGGTGAGACAAAGGAGGACAACCCCAAGCAGTGCTAAGAGAGGAAGAAACTTCCCACTATGGATTTCACATGAGGAAAATTCATGCAAAGAGAGATTTTTCTGCTCCTATTCATAAAGTAAGGGATAGAGAAAGAAGCCACAGAGAAGGACTTCTTCTCCTGGGTCACTGACAGAGCATCCAGTCCCCTTCGGGATGCAGAGTCTGGCACAACAAAAGAACAGAGCCTGCACTGCAGTGACCTTCTTGGAATATACATAACTATTGAGAGGACAGAGAGCTGCTGAAGCAGAACTTCAGTGCACATGGATGCTGAGACTTGAATTAAGAACTCAAACTTCTGTGCAGAACATTTTGTTTGTACCCTGTGTATGGAGCTGCCTGGTAAAGCAGGAGGGAGGGAAGAAGAGGCAGAGCACATCTATTTCTGATCTTTCAGTGTTGGGTGAGATGAGTAGAACTAGGAACACCAACTCAGTTGTGTTGGCTCCAAGGCTTTTCACCATATGCACAGACTGATACGTGCTTCTAAAATCACAATGCTCCTCTAGAATTAAGGACTGGGCCAATCTTTCACATGAGTTTCTCATGCAATCCTTGCTCATCTTCTTTGTAATGTCTACAGAGACGCAAGTCTTCATCTTTCTCTGGACAGCCTGAGCTAGGAGAACAGAGACAATAGAAGATGGATGTTGTTAGAGACATGGACATGTTCCTGGGCACGCAAGTCCCAGCTGCTAATTCATGTTAGGGGGACTCTACCTGCATGTTAAAGAGGAGGGAACAGAGGTCAGAGTGTATGGGGTATCCCTGAGCTGCGAATCACATGAGAGGAAGAAAAGAAGGGAAATACAGAGAGACATTTGTATTCTTAAAGATGAAGGCTGGGGATTTGGGACTCTGGTACCAGCCTGGCTTGATCTTCTCTTTAAATCCTTGCATGTAAGGAAGCAGCAAAGGTGGACTGTGACTCTTTCTGTTTAACCTTTGTTCCAAATAAGGGCTCCTCATAGAAGCTGTGCCAGCTGGAGCAGGTGGATGTTCATTGCAACAGTTGGGATCAGCGTGGGTGCCAAAAGAGCCTCTTGCTGCAACACTGCGTCCTGGGCAAAGACAACTTTGGAAATTCAGACTCTGTGGTAGTTCCCTCTGCTCCTGAGAGCAGGCTGCCGGCTCCCTAGTGGGATGTGAAAAGGTAGGAGTGTTCACAGAATGCTAAATAGGCAGAAGGGAACAATACAACTTTCACCTCAGCCCTGCAGCAAGTTGCTCTGGCTACTGCAGCTTCCTTTGAGGGGCCTTGCCTCTCCGTAGCTGCCAGAGGACTGCAAAACAGGACTTTGTTTCAGACTGACAGTGATGCAGTGGCAAATCCCCGAGCAAACAGAATTTGTTAAAGTCCATAGGCACTTATTCTTTACAAGGAGAGTGTTAAGACTTAAAGCCTTCTCTTGGCACGGTGCCACCACAGCACAGCTTCTGGTGTGCTCGTGTCACAGGCTGGGCAAACAGCACATTGTAGGAATGGTACACCGGCTGACAGTGGCTCCTTGTGTGGGAAGAGCTTCATCCTCAAACACATCGAGAGGAGGAGGGTGGGCTTGCCTGATCTCCGCACACAAAGGGTGAAAAAGAAAGAACTCTGATAGCTGAACAAAACTGGGGTTGCTGGGACAAGCCTTCTCCCTATACCCTGTTTCCATTACGGCTCAATTATCGATGGCAGCAATGTACCATCACGGTCGAAAGCCTGTGGGCAGCTGTCAGGATTGCAGATGAGTTATCAATAAAAGTAAGGGGCTTTTAAGTGCTTTAGTTTTCTTTCATGTTGTCTAGATTAGATCACTCCAGGTCTCTCCCCATTCTTCCCCCCTTCCCTTTCCAGTACATGAAATCCCTTACAGCAGGTCTTTAGGCACACCTGTCTCAGCCCCTAGCTCCAGTTCTCTTTCTTGAAAGCAAGTTGCACAGCATCATTCACATCCTGCACTATGTAAGACGCCTCCACCAGGCTGGGATCAAAGCAGAAGTCCCGATGTCCATGGAACACCTCCTTGGTCGTGCACTGCTCTGTTTTACTGGGAACACCGTTGTCGTGGCGGTACACCCCAGTGCAGACCAGGATCGAATCGCAGCTCTCCACTGAACTGTTGCAGTCCTTCCTCAGCTCAAGGTAATCCTCCGTTTGGGGACCGGCTGCCTGGGGGTTCCTCTTCACCCCAGCCTGGACCTGGTTCTGCTGAGCTGACTTGAGGTAGTTGTTGTAGAGGTTTGCCCCATAGACGTCAGACATAGGGTTATCCCTGGATAAGATCACAGTGTGAAACAGGAATGAGAAACCAGCCCGTGCATCTGGTTCTGGCAGACTGGGATTAAGAAAGCACTGAAGGAGGAAGGGGTGTGAGATAGTCACTAACAACAAGAGGAGCACCCAGACTGGGCTAGTGAATCCGCCTCCCAGTGTGTCCTGTTCAGGCCACATGCTTTACAAACATCTTCCAAACATCTCAAAAGCACCCACATCAGTTTCAGCCACTACTGTGTTGTATTCCTTACGTTCCCGAAATGTTTGGCCTAACCAGGCCAATGGTGCTACATCTGAGTCTCTTGTCTTCAATCACCACTCTATACACAGTCTGCATCCTACAGCAAACAGCTTTCCTAGGCTGACAGGGCCCTTCCTAATATTGAAAGTGTAGGATGCAAAAAGCTAGCAATCCTCTGTTCCAGGACGTGAGGCTCCAGAGACACCACGGGGATTTTGGCATTAATTATAGAAATATCCAGTTAAAACAAACAAACAAACAAACAAACAAACAAAAAACCACAAACCCCAAGACACTAAAGAGAAGTCAGTGTGCAACTCCCTAAGGGAAGCAGCAGGAAAAAGAGTCTCTTACCCAACTGCATAGAGGCGTCGGATGGGAGCCTTCCAGCCCTGTTTCTCTGCCTGCTGTTTGATCAAGTACTCGGCGTAGCGGTAGGTGACTGTGCTGGGTTTGCCAATCAGTGCCTCGTACTTCAGTTCCCTGCCTGTCACCTTCTTGTAGATGTTCTCCAAGCAGAGGAGGAAAGTGCCATGGCCAAACCTGCTCCAGAAAGGAGGTCATCAGTGTCCCCAGTCACGTCCCTGAAGTAGCAAGCACTCCTTGGTGAGGAGAACCATCGGCTGTAGCCAGGTTAGTGCCTCGTTTGGATGTGGTGTCTACCCACACACACACACCTCCACAGGCAGTGGTCTGGCTTTTGCTTCTTGAAAGCTTGAGACTTTGTTTCTCATGCAGCTTTCATGCCTCTGCTGCTAATTACACCATACAATCAAACACTAAAATACGCAGTAGGAAAAGATCACCTGCAGGAGAGTTATATGAAATTGGTTAAAACAAGTAACACACATGTTTTTTACCTGGGCATCTTGGCTTCAGCCATCCACAGGAGATCCATGTTGCAGGCAAGGACAGGCAGATGGGGGTATGGTGCGTCCTGTGGCTCTGCCCCAGGGTTCCCGTTGCTCAAGAGTACATCAGTAATAAGTTGCAGGCTTGTCTCCCACCTCACTGGCTCACCAAACAGAATCACCCCTGGAAGATTTCAAAGAGATGTTCAGAAACTCACAGCATCCAAGTATAGGACCCACTACCAAAAGCCACCCACTAACAAAAACACTCCTCTGCTGGGATGCCCTGGTGAGTACAGCCACCGCTGGCACACGGCTGGTGCCAGGGCTCCAGTCTGTGTATCACTGCATCGTGTGCACCACTAGTCCCAGATACTGGAGCATGGCACAGAGAAAAACTGGCTTGGCTTTTACCCAGATTGTACTTCACACTGCATGAGAGCAGCGAGGCTGCCTCCTGACTGTATCCTCTGAGTATGCTGCCCCTGGATACCAACGAGCCAACAGCACGTCATCAGCTCCCCTCCCAGCTGGCCTGCCTTGCTGTTAGTTCTGCTGGCTGCTCACATCTAAACAGAGGCCGCTGCTTACCTTCTATAGTGGGGAAGCCAGTGGTTGGAGGAGGCTGCCAGAAGAAAACAGAAGGCTGGGTTAGTAATGCAGAACCCAGTGCCATCTCCAAAACAAAACTAAAAATGCTTCCTTTGAACCTGCCAAAGTAGTTCTGTAAAAAGGCAGGGCAAGGCCACCTGGAATCCTGAAGAAAGATTTCCCTCACCTCCTCCTCCCCCCATCCCAGACAGGATTTCTGGGATGCAGACCTTGCACTCCTGTCTCAGAGCTGGAGATGTCAACCAAACCACCTTACCGCTCAGTGCAAGGAACAGCAATGGAAGACGGGCACGACAGGAGAAACGCGAGGGGAAAGTCATTGCCCTTCCTGCAGGAGCCAAGGCTGTAAAGAGCAGAGAGATGCTGGCTGCTCAGCACCAGTCCCAGGCTCTCACTATGGGGAGTCACTGGCAGACAGCTGCTCTGTGCCTTTGCAGCCTCTCTGCCCCGTCCATACAGCCCCACTACACCAGACCACCCCTTCCACTGACGCTTCAGGAAATTACCAGTTCTTTTGGCCTCCGGCTCTTATCCACCATGTCCAACAGGGGATATGCCTTCCTCAGGGCCTCTATGGTGACCACGTGCTTGAACCCCAGGCTATTTCAGACCATCAAGGAATGTTGTGGAGACTATTGGGTTTTTTTTTTTTTAAGTTACTTGCAAAAGCATCTGTAGGATTAAGGAATACGAGTCCTAGTAACAGATCATAACCTCATGGCTTTCAGTCACACTGTGCTTCAACCTACTGATAGCCCTAAAGGTTACAACTAAGAAAAACAGACTGGGGTGATTCATCAGCAGTCCCTGGAACTGGGCAAAGAGCAGAGGTCCCCACTCCAAAACAGAATAGATGTGCTTTGGGAGACCTTTATGCCAGGGTTCTGATATTGGTGCAGCACTGGGGGAAGGGGAGGCTTCTTGGCTAGAAGCAGAATCCCTGAAGCCTTGGTCAGCTCAGCTGGTGCACGGAAAATGGTCTGCACTGATAAAACTACATAAAGGATGAGTTGCATTTACTTGCAGAACACCCTGCCCTTGGCTCATCTATGGGCCTCAGGGAAACACAGAAAAGGGCTGTGCTTTTGTAACAAATGAAGTTAAATGTTGAGCACAGTGTGCCCCTGTGAGTAGAGGCTGAGATGCTGTCCACACTGCAGGCAGTTCTTACCTCTTTGCAGACATGTCTGCCCTGCTGTCCCCACACCTCAGCCAGGCAATATGCATGTGGGATTGTCATTTAGACCACTTCCCTGTACTGGGATGCTCTAACTCTAATGATATTTCATCGAATCATAGAATGGTTTGGGTTGGAAAGGACTTTAAAGATCAACTAGTTCCAATGCCCCTGCCATGGGCAGGGACACCTTCCACTAGACCAGGCTGCCCAAAGCCCCATCATATTTGAGTTCCTTTAATTGCTGTCAGTTGGGGGTGAGCTCTAATGGGCTTTGCCATGAAAGAACGGGAGGAGCACAATTTTATCTCAAAAGTGAGATGGGCCCTAAGCTGACGGAGTCCTCACGGTGACATCCCACCAACAGGAACAGCAACCACAGGAGAGGTAATCAGAGTGAGTTAATCAGCATGACAACCTAAACACTGAATAAGGGCAGCCAGGAGGTGACCAAGGTGGAGTTATTGCTTCCCCCTGAGCTGCTCCACGAGGATGCTTCCCCATAAGGCCAATGACCTTTCTGTCTCCTCGTAGTTCTCCAAGCTGAGCGAGTGCCAGGGGCAGCGGCAGGGCAGGAGCAGCAGCCTTTAGCTGGGAAGCTGCAGCAGGATGCGCAGACCACCATGAGGCACACGGAGCAAAGGATACTTGTGGGCAATCTCCTCCACGGGCCCCTGCCCGGCCACCAGCATGCACTTCTGGTGGAACCGGCTGAAGAGCTGCAGGGGGCTGTGGGACAGGATCACCTGCTCCGGAGACACCTGCGGGAGGGCGGAGAGGATGGCTGGGAACCGCAGGTAAGATTTCGGCCCCCTCCTCCCTGCGGTCGGGTCGCATCTCTGCCTCCCCGAGGCGAAGCCAGGCACTCGGGGCGATTCCCTCCCGGGGCAGCCGCGCGGGACGCGCTCCCTCCTCCCGGCGCTCCGCTCCAAGGCCGGGAGCGCTCCCCCAGCCCCGTCACCTTTACCTGCATCCCCAGCGCCCGGGACAGCTCTCGGGCCTTCTCCGAGCGCAGGCAGTTCCCGGCGTTCGTCAGGAAGACGACGGGCACCCGGAGCCTCCCGCTGCCGTCCGCCAGCCTCTGGAAGGCGCGCCGGGCGGCGGGCACGGGCTGGCTGCCCCGCACCAGCACCCCGTCCACGTCGAACAGGAACCCGAAGGCCGGCGGCTGCAAGGCGAGCGGAGCGGACGGTCACACCGGGGAGCCCCCCCCTTGCGCCGTCCCCCTTCCCGGCCCCTCGCCCCCGGCGCCGCTCACGCACCCGGGCGGCGGCGCAGACCTCGCGGGCGGGCGGCCCTGCGGCGCGGAGCAGCGCCCGGCCGGCCCGCAGGAACCCGCGCAGCGCCATCCCGGCCGCTGCCGCCGCGGGCACCTCCCGCACTACAGCTCCCAGAGAGACGCGCGGCCCGAGGGGAGGGACCGGGGCGGGGGCAGGAAGGGCGGGCACCGCGGGCCGGGGGCTGGTGAGGGCAGCACCGGTGCTGGAGGGGCGCGACCCTGCAGAGGTGTAGGGTTCGAGTGGGGTACAGGCAGCCCAGCCACGGGAGAGGCGTGCAAAATCACCAGCGGAGAGGGATTTGGGCGGGAGGGAGCAAAAGGCTTAGATCCCTACAGAGCAATGACACCGGTTTTATCTCAGCCCTTCACAAAAGCAAAGAACAGGAGTCTCTCGGTCTGTGAGCGAAATCGCTCCGGGGCTGTACAGCCCGGTGCCCGTGGTTGCACAGACATCTCCCCAGGCATAGTCTGGTTTCAGTCTAAGGTGGCTACAGCTTGTCCTGCCCGCAATGTGCGTGCCAAAGGGCTGCACTGCGACCTGTTGTCTCTTCCAGCTGACCAGGGGAGTGATTGTCCACCTGTACTCAGCACTGGTGAGGCCACACTTTGAGTGCTGTGTCCAGTTCTGGGCCCATCAAAATCAGGAAAGACACTGATGTGCTGGAGCGTGTCCAGAGAAGGGCAATGAAGCTGCTGAAGGGTCCAGAGGGTGAGTCCTATGAGGAGCAGCTGAGGGAGCTGAGGGAAGTTGACCCGAAGAGGAGGCTCAGGGGAGACTTTAGTGCTCTCTACAACTACCTGAAAGGTTGTAGCAAGGTAGGGTCGGCCTCTTCTCCCAGGCAACTGGCAATAGGATAAGAGGACATGGCCTCAAGCTGTGCCAGGGAAAAATAGGTTGGATATCGGGGAGAATTTCTTCACTGAAAGGGTGGTCAGGCATTGGAATGGACTGCTCAGGGAGGTAGTGGAATCACCCTCCCTGGAGGTGTTCAAGACGTGACTGGACGTGGCACTTAGTGCTGTGGTCTAGTTGACAAGGTCAGAGGTTGGACTTTGTCTTGGAGGTGTGATTCTGTGAGTTGGTGCCCTGCCTTTGCTCAGTCTTTTTAAACCCAAGCCTTGTGGTCCTTTTCCTACAGATCATAAAGTTTTCTAAAACACTGGTCACCGTTTATGCTCTCCAATGGACTGCCTCCCTCTTTCCTGTGCCAGGGGAAAGAAACCTTGACGCTGACTTCAGCTGAAGCCCTTCCAAACCTGGGGAAAGTGAAAGGTTCACTTCACATCCATGGAGATGAAACAATGTTTGTTTGCTTTCTGGCTGGGCTTAAGATCTCCTGACTCCCTCGATAGGGCAGGTTTAACGTGTATGACTTTAGGCATCAATTACGCAAACAATGTAATTGTTTGTCTTTACGCTTCCATTGCCGTGAACACCAACCTTAATTTGTTTTTGACCCATTTTAACACCCAGAGACCTTTCTGCAGAGCTATTAAAGCACTGGCAACTCAGCATTATACATTTATATGGATGGTTATTCCTCCTTAAGTGCCTTTGCCTTAACTGAATTACCTATCATTTATTTTATGTAATTTCCTCAACTTGCCAGGATGACTTTTATTTCTCACAAGTGTTTGCAGCTTCTCCTGCTCTGGCAAAATTCATGCTGGCCTTGGAGTATGCCTTCTCACCTATGTAGAAACCAGAGACCCACATCCTGCACCTCCCTTGGCTGCCAATGAAAAATAAAGTCAGAGAGAGGGGCAAAGACTTTCTGAAATTAATGACAAACACAAGAGCCTTGTCTCGAGTGTTTCTCAGCTATCCACCAAGGCAGCCTCTCCTGGCAGAGTGAAAATGTGATCGATTTGCTGTGATTTCTGCTTAGGGTATTGGCTAATGTGAGTTTATGGCCTTTTAACGATACAACCACTTGCAAGTTAGATGGGTTGTTTCGATTCCTGGTCTCAGTGCCTCTGAGACCGAAGGGCATTGCAGGGGTCTGTCGGTCCCTGCTTTGTAAGTGTAAGGATACTTTTGTCCTTTTTTCCCCTGATCCCGAGACTTGCGAAACAGCCGCGAGAGACATCCAGCCAGTTCCCTACGCAGAGAGGATGTCATTGCAAAAAAACCAAAACAAAATAAAACCAAAAAACCAAACCAAACAAACCAAAACAAACCCCCCCCCCCCCCTCCACACAAAAACAACCGGTCTAGTCTATTTACAGATCCTGGAGTCCGGGGTTTTTTGGGCGGTGGTTTTATCGTCCCCACTCCGTGCGGGTTTTTATCCCGCTGTGCCGGCTCTTCCCGCGGATCCCTGCGGGAGGCGCTCCTGCTCCACGGCGCGGGCGGGCCCGCAGCGCTCACCTGCGGGAACCCCCCGCACCCCGCCAAGGCTCGGGGGGCTCCTGGCAGGGTAAGGGGTGCGGCTGCGGGATGTGGGGTCAGGCTGGGGGGCCGAGAGTGTTGTTCCGATCCCAAGCGGACCGTGGGGGTACCCGCCGTCGAGGAGGTGCCCCCGAGGTGTGCGTGTGTGTGCCCCGGCGGGCTGGCAGAGCTGCCCGTGTTTATTTTTCCAAGGAAGGCCGCCCAGCAGGCTGAAGTGCTTATTTTTAAACCAACGCGGAGGGAGTCTGCCAGCGGCCGGGCACAGGCTGAGCCTGGCAGGGACCGACAGCGGCACTGCTGCCAAGCCCCGCGCTCTGCTTGGGCTGCTGAGCCCCTCCCGGCACCGCGGGCAGACTTGAGCCCCATCATCCCTGTGCTAAATGCCCGGTTGTGTAATTTGCCTTTCCAGAGCTGAGACTTTTCTCTGTGCCTCTACTAGGAGCTCCCCATTCTGCGTGCTCTACATGGATGGACCTCGTGATTTCTTCTGCGGGCACATCTGGCAACAGCCATATCCCCAAATGCCCCTAGGGATCGCCTGTCTGCCCTTCTCACACCGGCCCACAGGAGACTCCCTCTTCTTCCCCTCTCTACACGGTGCTTAGATGTTTCCCCCGCCCCTTTCGTAGCTGACTATAAAGACAAGCAAAACAGGCAGTTGCCCACAGCCTTCTCCCGTGGGTCCCTGTGTAAACTTTGCAGCTCTGTTTTCTCTGGACTCACAGCCCTGTCATCACCCCCCTCCCTCCTCCTGACCTTCTAACATCCCCCTCGAAAGTAGATGCACCTTCCATCTCTCTTTTTACCGCAGAGGCTCTAATGGCCTGAACCGACCCTCCCCCCACGGTTTATCTCTTCTCTCTCCCTGCTGCAGCCTGCTCACGAAATGATGGACAAGCTAAAGGTTGAGAAAATACAGTAAAATGCCTTTCTTATCCTGTAATGACCAAGGGGGGAGGACACAGCCTGATAAAAATGACAAGCCAGAAGAATTGAGAGCCAGACCCTTCACCTGCCTGTCCCTCAGTGCACAGAAAACACTTGATAGTCCTGCTGTGATTGCAACTGCTGCAGGCCCAGGAAGAAAGGAATTAAGTACTGAGCCAATTAGACCTATAAGTTTCTGTCCAAAGAAATGTCTTTCTGCTACCTGTGAAGAGGCTAATTCAGAGACTAATACAGGAAGAAAACCTGAAGCAGGCTGAGCATTTTGGAGCTGGTGGAAAAAGCCTATGTTTTTATGGCCAGAGGGCTTTGCTTAGCATGTGGAATCTGTGTAGTCCCACTGCGGTGATGGGGGCTCACAAGACATAGAGATCCAGCTGCTCACTTGGGCCTATCTCTACTTCCAACCACATACTTTATTCCTCTGTTTTTATTGGCATGATTTTTGACAGCAACTACTAGTGCTGGATCAGCCATTTCCTGGCAGTGATTGACCAGGAGGCGAACATTTCATTCTCTGAATTGCCCCAAAGGCAGTCTAAGATGCTCTGCTAGGCCCTGTGTGCTGCAAACAAAGCTCCATCCACCTCCCATTTAAACAAATTGAACCTGAAGAGGCCACAGGGAGAGACAGATGGGGGAGATAACAGGCATAAGGCTTGATGTATTCCTGTGGCTGCTTGAAGTAACCCTCACAGAAACTCCCATGGATTTTCTACTCTCCTTCCTTGCTCCTGAGTCTGGATGGAGATAGAAGGGGAGCTCTTTTCGCCTCTTTATGTCTGCCCTACTCAGCCTCCCATCACCTTGTGTCTTTCTCCACGTCTTTCATCCCAGGTATTCAAGTTCTCTGGCTACTCCTTTCTTCCCATGCCCACCACCAGCACCTGGGGCAAAGAGCCTCGGGTTGTTGTACCATGTAGTTACCTGGTGCTCCACAGAGGCACTTGCCAGGTTCAAAAAGAATAGGGTGATCACACAGCATTTACTCTTTTCCTTGTTTTCTGCCATGAAAATCCCACTAAAAGGAGGGTAAATGGCCTTCAGCAGCTCCTCTACTTCCCTGTGCTGTAACCACCATAGAGATGGTACTAAACTGTAATGGGAGGAGAGGTAGCACAAGGAAATGGTGTCTGTCAGATGGTGTCCGTATGAAGACATGGCCCTGAGCTGGATGCAGCTGCGAAGACATTTCAGACTCCCTGATAACTCTACACCAGGCTGAGTGATGTGAAAAATCCCCCTCCACTGCACATTCCAGATTAAAACCTCACATCAAATCCAGGCATCCCCTGTTCTTTTTAATGGAGGGGGCGGGGGTGGGAGTGAAGGAAGGAAAAATAACCCTCACATTTAAAAATTGGTTTAAAAATTTAATTATAGACTGTGTTCTGAAAGAAACAGGCAAAAAAAGCATTGTATATGATGTATTTGCCAACAAATGTGAGCAGGGAGCCAAGGCACTGAGGGTAAGGGAATAGACTGGCAGCAAAACCCTTGAAAGAGGGCCCTGCAGCCAAATTTACCCAAAGCTTTGAGGCCAAATAGATGGATCTTTCATAACTGCTGTGGCCCAGCCTAAATCCCTCCTTTTTTTTGGCACGCCTGGAGTTAGTGAGATGAGGATGCAATTTGGGTTTCTCGGTTTGTACCTTTCTCAGAACTAAGGCCACTCCAAGGAAGTGTTGATCCCCAGCAGTAAAGCAGGCTGGCCCTCCTTCTCTCACACTTGC